GAAAGTGTAACAAAGCTATTTTTAAACAAAAGGAATCTAACATAACTAATAAGATCTCTAAAGGGATGCATGGATAAATCAAACCAAGTGCTAAGATTTACTGCCTCCGCACAATCGGTAAACACATTAATGTGGTAGAGCCCCATTTGTGAACAGAATTTCAATCCTTGGATAATAACAATAATTTTGGTAATAGTCAAGGGAAAGTTTTCCACAATTGAATTAAATCCAACAATCCAATCAATATTATTGTTTCTTAATACACCACCACACCTTGAGATGCCTCTCTATATGATCCATCTATATAAGCCTCATAGCAAAACCTTCAAGCCTAACCCACTAACTTTTACTTCTTTGCTCGTGGAATATCATAAATGAAGATCTTTGCTTCAGACCATTCTACACCCTCCAAATAATGTCAAGGTGTTGCCTCTCCTCCATCTCCTCCTTTGGTGAGAACACTTTTTTTACATCTAAAACACTAAAGATCCCAACAAACATATCCAAATAAAACATCTTAAGGTAATTGATTTGTATTTTCATTCCCTACAAGTGTTTCAAATTCTAAAGTATCCAGTTTGCTCTGTTGTGATTCTTGAAATTGCTCCACTCCTCAACTTTGATTAATATCTTCCATTGTTCCTCTGCTCTTGGACAATCTCCAACTAGGTGCATTACATCTTTCATTTGATTGCACTCCCACAGACATCAATCAGATTCCCCCACAACCATGTTGAATTCCTAACATAGCTATGTGCAGTCTATCTTGAGCCAAGAGCCACATATGAATCTTTATTTTTTTTAGTCCGTTCTAGCTCCAGATCTTATTCCATATCTCTCCCACTGTTGATGGTGTGCTTGTAACAAAAAATTTATATACAGAAGAAACATTAAAATTATCATTCAAAAATGGTTTCCATATGAATGAATCCTCTCCTCTCTCAACTCTCGAGTTATGAGTGCAAGCAATACTATAAACAACATTACTAGGTAGCCACAACCCTATTTTGTCAAGTTTCCAACCACTATTCTTATCAACAAACTTATCAACATGTGCCTTTGTCTCAAGCTGTCATTCATAGCTAGATGAGTTAGAGGTACATCAAAAGGTGCCCATAAATCAATCTAGAACTTTGTAGTTTGACTGTTGCCAACTCTCTTCCCTACTCCCTTAGTAAAGCTTTCTCAACAATTAACAATACTTCTCCAAGTCACTGACACATTTGCCCTGTTCTTCACAATCGGTACAACACCAACACCACACTTATGTTTAGCTTTTAGCACCTAAACCCAGAGAAACTTATCATTATCGAGAAGCTTCAAACAAAGCTTAAAGATAAAAGCTTTGTTCTAGATGTTAAGATCTTTAATACCCAAACTCCCTTTCTTCTTGTCTTGAATTACGTCCTTCTGGACAAGCAAATGTAACTTCTTATTGGCACTATTATCACCCCACAAAAGTGTTTGCACTTTTTATCAATCTCAGCAATCAGCTTTTTGGGTCATAAGATTGCTTGCACATAATAGCCGGGCATTGCAGAAATAACTTACTTGAGTAGAACAGCTCTACAAGCAATATTGAGGACGTTTCTCTTTTCTAAATGCAACTGGGGATCCTTTAGATGAAAAGAGACCACACAAAAGTAGACGTGTCTAGGGATAGCAAGTAGTACATTACCACGCATCTTCCCCTGAACGGAGCATGCTTTATTTTCTCTCCCTTCTATGTGAGCGCACATAAAATTATTCTTAAAAAAATTAATTTCTTAATCTTTTAATTTTTAATTCACTTCAAACTTAATGTGACTCAATCTTTTAACTATAACTCACTATGATACAGTTCCTTAATTTTTAATTCATCTATAATGCAGTCCTTATTTTTAAACTTTTTTTAAAATTTCTTACCAAATAAGAGGGATAAAAAAATACTCATATATTATTCTAAAATACCCTCCTCTTATTTATCGATGTGAGATATAAGCTAACATAAAAAAATTAATAAAAGTTCAGAAATTAATTTGTAAGTGATTCAAAAGTTGAAAGAATGAGTTATAGGCGAGTCATAGTTAAGAGATTGAGTTACAATAAATTATAATTGAGGGATTGAGTTATAAGTGAATTAAAAGTTTGAGGATTAAAAAATAATTTTTTTTATTTTTAATTGAAATTGAAATTGAAATGTAAACTAATGCTCTGGGGGGGGAAAACAAGAAAAGAAAGACAACACACCGAGTCGGCTGGTCAGAGAGATTATATTCATAGAATCTCCCTTGCAATTATAAATTAAAATATATCTGTATTTTAGGATCTGTTTATCATATTTTATGCGCTCTTTTTATATTTATAGTATAATTATTCGGCATCCAATTTGGCCAACTAACCCAAATTCAAAAATGATTTGCCCCCTTCTCTCTATTATGCAAGAAAAGAAAATTTCTAATTTTGAACACTACAAAGTTAACGCAGCTAAAAAAGTGGGTTCCCTATTTGTCCTATGGAAGTTGGCGGGTGTAAACGATGCAACTGAGATCGAAAGTAAATAAATAGTGAAAAAAATAACTAAATCCATATCTTGATTTTGAGTTCTGTTAATGGTTAAGCTCGTCGACACACACACACACACACACACACACACACACACACACACATATATATATATATATATTCTTTTAATTTTTAATTAAGTAGAAGATCTGATGAATCTTCTCAGAATTTGAGGTTCTTTTCATCTTAATGGTTGCAAATCAAGGCCACTATACATCAGGGAACAAGTATGAAAATGGCGATATAAGTTGATTAAAGGGAAAATGATAATTAGAAATCTCATAAAAACATACACTAATGACAACTACAGGTCCCAAATTATTAAAATCTTAATAATATACCATAATTTTTACTTACAATAAATTATTTTTTATTGATTGACTTGAGATTTATAATAAATTTTTATAAATTCTAAACTAACACTACAAAAAATTTATAAATATCTTATGTTGATTTTTTAAGCAATAGCAAAAAGTTACAAGTAATTGCCTTACAATTCACAACTAATTTTCATAAGTTTTTAGCTGATGTTATAAATAATTTTAAGTATATTTTATAAATTTCTCAAACGATTTATATATAAATTGATACCAAAAAAATCACAAGTGATTATCTTGTAATTCACAACTAACTCTCATAAATTTTTAACTAACATTACAAATAATCTCAGGTATATTTTGTTTGATTTTCCAATTGGTTTATTTATTTATTGAAAGAAAATATTAAGATTAACAATTAACTCCCGTAAATTCTCAGTTGACGTTATAAATAATTTCAAGTATATTTTGTTGATTCTCCAATTGATTACTTGAAATTCATTAATTACAAGTAAGAATTATAATCTATTATTGAGATTTTAATAATTTAAAATCTATAATTATATTAATGTTCTTTATGAGAACCCTAATTGTCATCTCCCCTCTATTAAAGCTCGTTTTTGCGTCTCCTTGGAGCAAATGATTCGGGAGTTAGGCACAGTCATGAGGAAGTGGGCCCAAGTGGATGAAAGCCCAAACTGGTGACCCATATGGAGCAAATGGCTTATTGACAAAGCATCATCATTTTCAACACGGGCTTCCGCAAGTGCGTTGAGTCTTCAACCTGGGGCCCACTTGTGTGATTAAGTGATCAGCTTTTCCTAGGGGTGAGCAAAACCGAACCGAAACCGAAAATCGAACCGAACCGAATCGAATTTTGTCTATTTGATTCGGTCTATTTGATTTTTCGGTTCGATTCGATTTTTTTTATTTTAAATATTTCGGTTGATCGGTTCGATTCGGTTAGTAAAATTTAAAATCGAATAGACCGAACCGACCGAATTACATATAATTTATTAATTTATAAATTATATTTAATTTATAAATTATTTTTATTTTTATTTTTATTTTTTATTTTAATAAAGAATAAAAAATAATTACATCACTTGAAACCCCATTTCAATCAGTCACTCTCATTAGTAGGTGTTGTGACTGGATTATGGGGTCATTATTTGATCATCGGTGTTTATTTGTGGTTGTTTATTTGATTATCCATGCCTTTATAATATTTGAATTTTATATCATATGGGTGTAATTAGAATGGGCTTATATTAAAAAAATAAATAAAAAAAAGGCCTAATTTTATAGTGTTGTTTGTTTTAATATTTAAAAAATGGGCCCAATTTTAATAGTCAAAAACGAAACCGAAAAACCGAATTAACCGACCGAACCGAATTATCAAATTTCGATTCGGTCCTTGTTCGGTTCGGTTGGCTTATTCGATTCGATTCGGTTTTCATTTTCAGTGTTATTCGATCGATCGGTTCTGCATATTTTGGAACCGAACCGAACCGAACCGACCGATGCTCACCCCTAGCTTTTCCCCCAGCAATATATATATATATATATATATAAATCAAAACGAGTAATAAAAGATTTATTTGAATTTTAATTGAAAAAACTTGATTAACAGAATGTGATGATGTTTGAATAATATTTTTTAAAATTAATGTTGATAAAATTGAAGATATTTCGATTATTTTTTAGAATTGATTTTGAATGCGCAAATTACAATAAAGAACATTCTTTTTTTCTAATGTAAATATTGATAAATTTATTTAATTATAAATATTTAAATTTTACTATATTTTAATAGTAACATTTTAATATTTAACAATATTCTTTTTTATTCCCAGAAGTTACGTGATTATTAATTCCTAGCCATTACTTGATTATCAAAACCAATCCACTAATCTCTCTTCACTCCCTGCATTTTTGTGAGAGAGGAAGCTCAGGAGTTACGTGATTATTAATTCCTAGCCGTTACCATATGCCACAAATAAATGTGTGTAAATCCATGTGGCTCATTATGGGGCTTGGAATTAGCTTCTCTGTCCACCTTTTTATTGTGCAAAGACTTTGTCCACGTAAACTTACAGTAGTCCCTTCTCTCTATTTTGACATCACCATCAACATCCCATGTATCGATCAGTCCCACCTTTGACAGCCATCGATAGATTCTTGTGGGGCCAGCAGTCACAGAATCACAAGACTTCTACTGTGTCGCCCAACACTGAAAGATCGAGTTTCATCGATGGCTTTGAGCAGGCTTTGAACTGGACACGCACTCAAGTCCCACCATCGTGCTGCGGAAACAGAGTTCTGGGGAAGCATGATGGTGATGATACTGTGGGAAGGAGAATCAATAAGAAAGGGTCTCGTGTATCTTTGATCAAAGGACAGTGGACTGATGAAGAAGACAGGTACGTAGAACCTTGAGGACATGACTGACTTGTATTTGCAAGTTAGCATATGTTTTAGTTATGTGTGTTGTTGTTTTCTTATACATTTATTTCTGTGAGCTGCTGCATAATGAGATGATTGTGGATTGGTGAACAGGAAATTGGTGAGGTTGGTGAATCAATATGGTGTGAAGAAATGGGCTGAAATAGCAGAGAAATTGGATGGAAGAGCTGGCAAGCAGTGTCGAGAGAGATGGCACAATCATTTGCGCCCTGATATTAAGGTCTTTTCTTCCTTAATCTTTGTCTGAGCGGTCAAAGTTTTGATGCTAAATTTCTAATTGCCTTACGTTCGATTCTACCTTGTCTGATTCAGGTAGGGTTGCGTGACCAATTTAGCATCATGTTACTGGAAATAACATATTTTAGAATGTGTCTGAGGTGACATTTTATTATTTTACAGATGAAATATTTTTTTTGTTATTGCATATGAAACTTTTTCAACCAACTATTTATTTAAATGACTTCAATCAAGAGTTTAGCAAATATGTCTATGATCACCTTTGTTTTCCGTAAAGTCTAGGATCAACTTTCTTTTTCTATTTCCCGTCAACAAGTATTTGACCTTTCCTTAATTACAAAGCATCTAGAAATAGATATGCCAAGGATTGATCTTAAATTGGTATTTTCTGCAAATCTTCCTCTTATTTTTGTTGGGTTTAAATGTTTCTGATAAGTAAACTTGAGAAGTAAAAGAATACCTAGTTGGCCTTTTACATTTTCTCAATCAATAGCATTCGTGTCAAATGCCTGGTTATATTCAGTCAAGAATTAACCTAACTACCTGATATGATTTCCTTCTGCATAAATGTTATTTTTAGGTATGTTACTACAAATGAGTAAATTGGGTGGCGCCTATTACCTACAAAGCTAAACTGCTGCATGATTTCACGTGAATTTTTGAATGTTTTATAAATGTTTCGTTATGGTAAAAATTAAAGCACATAAATCAACAATCTTCTTCACTGTTCATCTGGTTTCAGAGAGAAAGTTGGAGTGAAGAAGAAGAGAGGATATTGGTGGAAACACATGCCAAGGTGGGGAATCGTTGGGCAGAAATAGCAAAGAACATTCCAGGAAGAACAGAGAATGCAATCAAGAACCACTGGAATGCCACTAAAAGGAGGCAGAATTCCAAGAGAAAGAAGAAAATCACACACAAAGCACACAAAAAGCCACGTTCCTCTGTACTTGAAGACTACATCAGAAGCAAGACCCTGATGAGTAACACTGTACAGCACATTGCAGAAAACCAGTCTGATGAACCCTCTTCTGAATTTGCTGTTGTTCATGGCAAATCTGCAATTGCTGAGCCATATGATGAGGAATTGCGCTTCCTGCAAGGTTTTTTAGCCGACAATCAGAATCAGAAACAGTCTCTTGCTGATGCTGACCTCTCTGAGAATTCTTCAACTTCCTACTTGTTGGACTTTTGTCAAACTGATGGTGGACAGCATCTTATCGCTGACGTGACAACTGGGCCTGGATTTGTGTTTCCCATATCAAACCCAGATGACAAAATGAGCTTCTACGAGAGTTTCCTTGCTGAGAAGGCTGCCACTCCCATTAAAGACACCCAATCAGATCTTTATCTCTCTCACCTGCTCAATGGACCAACTTCCTCATCACTTTTGTGCGGGTATGGGAATCAAAACCTGAAGGTGGACTTTCAAATGGGGTATCAAGATAGTTCAGGAGGAAAGCGAGAGATGGATTTGATGGAATTGGTTTCTTCTTCTAAATTCTCTACTAGCATCAACTGTAGCATATGAGTTGGAGCTAGCGTGCTTTCTTGGTTGGCTAAAAAAAAAAAAAAATTACTGATGCTAGTTTTTGTAATAAAAGACGAGTTTGAATCAAACAGTGTTACATGGAATCCACTAATGAGGGCCACATGGGAGATTCACTTAAAGGTGTAAGCGTGGGTTGGTGACAGTTATAAAATAATCCCAGATCCCAGTGTCCGAATTTGATAATGCAATACAAAGTTCGAGGTGTCAATTGAAATGGAATTTTGGGGTTTGGATGTTAATGGATTAGGTGATACCCCCCACGAAGACATATATTTTATAATCAGAAACCAACACATAATTAACAGCAAGAGGGAGAAACCCAGTGAGATAGCCCCTAGCACTTGGAATTAGTGGAGGAATCTTACTGGCTAACCTCTAAATCCATCATCCCAATGTGCAGTTTTGAACCACTCTGCTTGCCTTCGTGTCTATTCTTGTCTAGTTTGTCCCCTGAATTTGAAACTGATGTTACCTTTCTTTGGCGCTTGATTTGTCACCATGTGAAACAGGGGATGTGTTTGGCTGTTTCATTCGTATCAACTAAATTAGAATTCAATTCCCATAGCATGATATGTTTTAAAAAGCCAATCTTGACTAGCGAAGACTTGAAAAAGTGAGGCCCAAAGACTGGGCATTAGAATTATCAAGTCTTGGTAGGCACATGAATTGTTTGCCTCAGAGAAGTTAGAGGATACGAGGGAATGTCCAAATCTGTGAATGACCCTTCCACGCATTTACCTTTTCTTGTTTTTGTACTGATTCCCCAGAAATTCCACCGATGAGTCAATTCCTACTTTTTTTTTCCCCGTAGCAATCCCAATCAATCAATAAGGCATAGTTAATAATGATACCCATTTAAGCCCTTCAAAATATCAGACTCACATGATCACTTATGAGAAGCAAGCTTGAGAAAGCTTAGGTCTTTTTGAAGGCAAACAAAGATGCACGTGTTGATGGAATCATTTGTATCCGATTAATTTTTTTGTTATTATAATTTTCTAATTCTTTACAGAGTTGCAGAGAAAGAACCTCAGTCAGGAAATTAAATTATTCAGCCTCGAGCAGTTACCTGGAGAGCATTAAAAAAATTGAGTGTGAACTTAGGGAATATGTTGCCCACTCCATTTGAGACTGACATTATTATATCATAAATCCAATTTGAATTCGGTGACTTTCTCGATGTAAATGGATACAGCTAGAACTTACTTGAAACAAATGTAAAGGTATAAATAGAGTTAGGTGAAGTTGCTCTCCCACATTAAAACGTTGTTTCTGGTTCTGTTTACACTCTAGTTTGAACTAGTAAATACTACAATACTGAGGTCTGGACTAATTGAGTAATTTCTGCTTTGTATTATCTCCCCTGTAAAAGCTAAACGGGAATACGTCGGCAGTAAACTACTCCCTCCAAACCGCGTCTTTCAAAGGTCGTGTTTGGTCTAAAACATAAGCTACTGAATAATTTTTAAAATTATTTTTCAGTTATATCTGTACTTTATTTTTTTTTAAATGACGTGATATATTTTTAGTTATTCTTGTCAAAATACTTATATAATATATTTAATGAAGGCAAAATTAGAGAGAATTAAATTTTTTTAAGAAATTAAAATTTCAACTAACATTTTTTGATAAATGTGAATACTCTTCTAGTTCTATTTATAACGTACAGAGAGAAAAAAAATTTGATCTTATGTACAAAATATTTGTCAATTTTCAATACTTTTCTTTACATTTTTGTTATTATTAAATATTTTTAATAAAAAGTACTGGTAATGAGATTTAAAAATATTTATTAGGGATAAAGATAAAAATTTATTAAATTTTAAAATAAATTAAATAATGTTTAAGGTTTTCTTTGATTTTAATAAAATATACTAAAAATAATTTATAAATAGAATGAGAGAGAATAATTATCAATGTCTTATATTTTGATCAAGAGAAAATAGTTGTTAATTATGCAATAAATTCATGAAACTTTAATCAAAGTGAATGAAGCTCGAGCGCATGCTTGAGCCTTTTTTTTGGTAAAACTGTGCCTGAACTTTATTCGCTTGTGAGTTGGGATGAAGCTCTTTTACTAATATGAAAGATGCTCCTCCCTCCCTGTTAGGTATTGGTAAAACTTATTGGATTGGACTCTGCGGCATAATATCTATCTCCATGTGATCTCTCCTCTCTGTTATATTCATGCATTCAATTAGCTTCAATCACAATTTTAAAAAAATCTGCTACTCATCAACATCAACAATAACATCAATAAAAATACTCTTTTCGTCTCTCACACCCACATACAAAAATTATTTCTAACTACTTTATCCAAATGAAAAAAAAATATTGTCTTTAATTTTATTTATAAATCATTTTCAGTATATTTTATTGAAATTTAAAAAAATCTTAAATTTTATTAACTTTATTTTTTTTAATAAATTTATACATTTACCCTTAATAAGCAAAAAAGGAATGATTTTTAGTAAATTTTTCTAACATTTAATAAGGGTAGAAAGGTAAAGATGACATAAAAAATAGTGAAATTTATTATAAATAGAATTAAAATTAATCTTTTTCCTCCATCATATAAATAAAACTATAAATAAAACAAGAGGGGTGTAATTAAATTATTCAAGGAAAATTACATATAAGTTTTGTGGAATAAACTTATTTACAAACAAGTCTCACGAAATTCAAAAATTACAACTAATTCTCTTAAAACCTAAGTGTAATTTGAAATTAGGATTAAAAAAATAATAATACTTCTATTAAACATATATACATTATACCAGTCAAATAATTCATAATTACTTTATCAATATTTTATAACTATAACTTTATATGTCTAATAATTAAATTAATCAATTTAATTATTAAATATGTTAAGTTACAGTTATAATTAGTTGAAATTATTGTTGTAAATTACTGATAAAATATTTGTAAATAATTAATATTAAATTTTGTTAATAACAAATACTCCCTCCATTAAAAAATATAAGCAATTTTTAAACGAATCTCACTCTCCAATAAAATAGTTATCTACTTTTTAACTAACCCTATTTTTTTATATTTATTCTTATTAAACACCTATAATAAATATAAATGCATTATCAATAGGGATAATTTTAGAAAAAAGACAATGATTACACCTCAAACATCTAAAAATGCTTTACATTTTTAACATTTAACTCTTTAAAAAATACCTTATATTTTTAAATAAAGAGAATAATTATTTAACTATTAAATATGTAAAATTATAATTGTAAAAAGTTAAAATTATAATTATAAATTGCTGATGAAATAGTTATAAATTAATTATTTAATTAATATAATATATATTATTATCTTTTTAGCTTAATTTTAAATTACACTTAAATTTTAAAGAAATCTAGCTGTAGTTTTTAAATTTTATGAGATTTATTAATAAATAAGTTTGCTCCATAAAACTTACGTAATTTCTCCATAATTAATGTTATTTGAAAAAAAAATCAGAATTTACTTTTATTAAATATATCATTTTTCTTCGGCCATAAAAACATTTTCTTATATGTAACATTTTTCTCAACTCATAAAAAATAATAAAAAGATGAAATTAAAAGAAAATAATTAACTATCCAACTTTATGCCATCAATTTATTATAAAAGGATTTTTATGTACAAATGGAGGGAATATAAAGCAAGTTTTGAGTCTATATTATATAACTCATTATCCTGCCCTGTAAACTGACATCAATTATTATTAATATGGACATCAATTAATTATAATTAATATAATTACAAAATATAAAATTTATAACAAATTGTTAAGGTGATAAAAGGGCCTATTTATTTTTCATGGAGTACAGTTAAATTCTTCTGCCCACAAGATTCAGTACTATAAAATTAAAAATACAAAATTAGAGCAGGTAGAATCAGTTTTTAACATTGATATTTGATAGAAATGATGGTAGAATTTCGATGAAATCTTATTAGGGAAGAAATAGGGAAAATCGCAATCACCGCATTAGCCAGCGCGATGATATTAAACGAATACACTCCCATGGTCCTATAGATCAGAGCGTCGTCAGTACGAGTTTGTTGTTCAGGTTTAGCAGTCAACCCACTGTTCTCTGCAAATGAATCCAACTTCCATTAACTTCTCCTTCTCTCTCTAACCTGACGCTCTTGTTTCCTGCTTCCTCTACTGTAACCTCCAATTAACAAGACCAGTAATAATAAGCCATCTTCTTTCGCTCCTGAATCTGCTCCATCTTACTATAATCTCTCTGAAACAAGGGCTATGGCTGCTATGAATATAAACTCCTCTTTCTGTAGATTCTGGATTCTTCTGGCGTTGTTTGCTTTTGGGGATTCTTCCTGCAACATCACTGACCATGATTTGGTCTTAAAGGCCTTTCAATCCGTCTCTGGATTCAATGTTTCCTGGTTCCATAGGCGAGGTTCCAACTGTTCAAAGGCTTCTCGGATTACCACAATACAGCTTTCTTCCAAGAATCTGAGTGGGTCTATCTCATGGGCTTTTATCAGGAACATGTCCAACTTGCAGGTTCTCGATCTTTCTGGGAATTTTCTCCAAGGTCATATCCCTCGGTGGTTTTGGGCATTTCCCAGCTTATCAAAAGTTGATCTTTCGAATAACAAGTTTGGAGGGAGCATTGACCTCCAATCCCGCGCAGGAAACGTTTCGTTTTCATCGGTTCAAAGTCTCAATCTCTCTCACAACAGGTTCACTAATCAGCCTCAGCTCTCTGGGTTTAGAAACCTCCGAATTCTCGACCTCTCGCATAACAATCTGAGGGCTCTCCCCTCTGGGTTTCAAAACCTCACCGCGCTACACCAACTCGACCTCTCAGGCTGCAATGTCAAAGCAAATGTGAAACCCATTGCTGTTCTGCGCTCACTGAATTACTTGGACTTGTCGAACAATTCTTTCAATGGTAGTTTCCCTTCCGATTTCCCTCCTCTGGAAAGGCTCAAGTTTTTCAACATTTCTCACAACAACTTCACGGCACTGGTTGACTTAAAGGAGTACAAGAAATTTGGGAAGTCAGCTTTTATTGACGCCGGGAACGGCTTCACCTACAATACATCCGAATCCGATACGCCCAGACTTGATCCACCTCCTCCACATGCTTTACAAGCCCCGACATCCCGCCACAAACACAAAACACTGGTTGTGGCAGTGTCCTCTGCTTCGGCATTTGTGCTGCTTCTGGTGAGTATATGGGTGTGTTGCATTTACAGAAAGAAGAGGCGACTGGCGAAGAAAAAGAGATGGGCAATCTCGAAGCCGGTGCCGTTGGGAATAAAGCTGGACATATTGGGTCCATTCGCATTCGAAACCGAATCAGGGAGCTCGTGGGTGGCGGACTTGAAAGAGCCGTCGTCGGCACCGGTGGTGATGTTCGAGAAGCCGTTGATGAACTTGAGCTTCAAGGACCTGATCGCGGCCACGTCACACTTCGGCAAAGAGTCGCTGCTGGCGGAGGGAAGGTGTGGGCCCGTGTACAGCGCCGTCGTCATCCCCGGTGACATCCACGTGGCAATCAAGGTCCTGGAAAATGCGAGAGACGTCGATAACGATGACGCCATCGCGCTGTTCCTTGACCTGTCCAAGCTCAAACACCCCAATTTATTGCCACCCTCCGGTTACTGCATTGCAGGTAGTTTCCGTACCTATTTCTCAGACGTTCCAACTTTCAAACTTTGTTATTTTCTGCTGCAGAGTCCTTTGAATTTTGTTTTAGTCTCTCGCATTAAATGCCCTTCTTTAGTTCTTTCTTTACGTTCGTTCCTCACGGAATGTCAAACTCGTGAACTCTTTGAGCAACCAATTTCGCCTAAATACTGCCCTCACAATTTTTTACGTTTAGGAAATATCCTAAAGTGAGGAATCAATCAAATCAACATTAAATTAGAAAGCTAAATGTAGGTGTAAGTTATTTATTCTATTAAGAAAAGTTGCATCAGTAGTCTGATCCATTTATTGTAACCATAATTCTGAGAAGGTCACCGAATTCAGTTTGAATTGTCATTCATTGGCTTCATGCTGTGCTGGTTTTATTTGTTCTTTTCCATATCAAATGGTTCATCCGACCCATTTCTCATGTCGACGTCACCAAGGATTGAATAGAATTGCATTTTCAAATGTTAATATTTCTTTATGAAATTTAGGCAGGGAGAAGCTGATTCTGTACGAGTTTATGTCAAATGGGGATTTGGGGAGATGGCTGCACGAGCTGCCAACTGGGCAGACTAACGTGGAGGACTGGACCGGTGACACGTGGGAGATTCAAAACGGCTCCGGATTGCAAGTCTCATCCCCGCCGGAGAAGATGAGTTGGCTGACACGACACCGTATTTCAGTCGGGATCGCGCGGGGGCTAGCATATCTTCACCACGCAGGGTCAAAGCCCGTCGTCCACGGCCACCTAGTGACATCGAATATCTTACTCGCCGACGACTTGGAGCCCCGAATCGCCGATTTCGGGATCGGGAACATCGGGAAGGAACCGCAGGGCCCGACTTGCACCACGGAGACGGACGTTTACTGCTTCGGGGTGGTGCTGATGGAGCTGTTGACTGGGAAGGCCGGCACGGCGGAGACGGTGGTTCGAGTGAGAAAGGCGGTAAGGGAGGGGCAAGGGGAGCGCGCGTTGGACGAGAGGCTGAGAGTGAGTTGCGACTGGGAAAGCGAGATGCTGGAGAGCCTCCGAGTGGCGTACTTGTGTACGGCCGAGTCTCCCGGGAAAAGGCCTACCATGCAGCAGGTCTTGGGTCTTCTCAAAGACATCCACCCACACGACCCGATTTGACTCGCTCCCCAACTCGTTTCCCTTTCTCAAGTTCCAACACAGTAATGATCAAGAACCACGCTCCTCGGAAGCGTTTGTCGCCCCGTCTCGTTAATGTCATTGTTTCCTCCTTGCGCGGGACTTGTTTGCACGGGCGGTGACTATGAGCTCGCGTGGTGTTCTGGATCATACTGGTAACTGGTTTGTCCCCTATGCATGTAGAGTACTTTGTAATTGTATTATACTTTATTTAAAAAAGAAAAGGAGAAAAAAGAGTAAAAAGATGGACAAAAAGAAGTGGGGCAGGAGAAGATGATTATAATTCTCAAAAAAAAAACAAAACAAAACAAAACAAAAACGGAGAAAAGGAGAATAATGGAGCATTATTTTTTCCCCCCCTCCTTGGAGGAGCTTAAGACAGAAGAGGTTGCTTCATTGTTTAATATTGCGTTTCTCTTTGACTTTGTTTCTTTCTGCTTTTTTTGTTTTGGTTTTTTTATTTTTCATGGGGCAAGGGAATATCCTACCTTTGCCTTTCGTCTCAAAAAGAAACGAAGATGAGGTAGAGAGGATAGATACAACTAAGACTGGCCATATTGGCAGGTTTGTGTTTGTTTTATATATATATATATATATATTGACCCAAAGGGACCATTTACATGGCGTGAGATACTAGTGGTGTCGCGGGTTTTGGTGTCTTTTATTGAGCAAATTCCTCTCTGGATTCTGACTTGTCAATCTTGGAGGCTAGTCTGTTGTTTGTCAATGCGTCAACTATATACAATTGTTGAGCATTACGAAGACGCTAGCTTGAAATTTTGCTGTTGGATAGAAAAATGTGGATAGAATAATCTTCAAGACGCCTGGAATTTGAGTAATGGGCACTCCAAACGCCGAAATTTCCTTCGATTTTATATTATTTAATCATTTCAGGTGTACCTTTCGGATGAAATTAAGTGCTATTTAACACACACACACACAACCCCCCTCCCCAACAGAGAAAGCAATCCTGTAGGTTGTGAACTATAGGATGTACTCCCCCCATATAGTTTAAAAAAATTTGATTAACTATATTAATTATGTTTGAAAATAAAAAAATTAAATTATAATATTTTTTATTAATTGTGTTAATTAAATTTTTATTAATTATTTTTTATGATTATAAAGGATAACATTATGAGGAATAATTTAAAAAGTTTGCAATAAATACTTATTAAAAAATATAATTTTGTTTATATAAAAAATAAGTTAAAAGTAATAGTTTTTTCATGAATAAAAATGGAGAGTGCATTGGTCGTCTCTAACGGTATTTTGTGCCTCTACGTCAAGATTTTTTTTTTTTTTTTGGTTGGGAGTGGCTGTCGAACCATAATACTTTAACCTAATCATTTCCTTCGAGTAGCACTCGTGTCCTAGGTTGTTTTTGAGATATAATGCTCTAAATTCTACGACATGTTTTGGAGAAAAGAACTCTTTTGAGATTTGAAATGGAATTTTTTGTTTGACCAGACACAACTAAAAGTATATAAATGATGCATGTGAATGTATATGTAACAAAAACATTGTTGAAAGTATTTAAAACATGAGACGGGTGATCTGTTGGAGATTTCCTATTTTTAAAGAAATTAAGTTTAAATATTAAATTAAATGTACTATGTTTATTGTGTAACAAAACACATGGCGTGAGAGGATTTAACGTCCCAGCGTTGGATTAGAAAACCTGGGAATTAGGTAATTAATATCATTAGCTCCGACTTTGTACAGTTTCTCGTGAGGCATTGAATAATCTATTCAAGCAACATCTAATGATTGAAACATTGGATACTGAAAAGTAAAGTGTTCAACACTTCGGCCTAGGAAAAAAAAAAAAACCAGAGAGAGAGACAGAGCAGGAGATACGGTTTAGTTTTTCTTTATTTTTTAATTTTTATGACGTGACGTTCCCGCGTAGGGCTTTTGATATTTTTTTTAAATATCTAATCTATAATTGTTGAGAAATCTTAACCAACAGGAGTATTTCAAATATATGCATGGCATTTTTTTACCAGTATATCATTCTCACACCCACAGTGTGTGTGTATAATGTCCATTTAAATTTCAATTAAGTGTAATAAATTATAAAAATAATTAATTAAGTGATAGATTTTAATCATAATTGATTATGTTATAACGTAATATGTTTGAATACTTTTTTTTAAAATTAATTTTAATAAAATTAAAGATATTTAGATAATTCATTCAGAATCAATTTCAGCCATATAAATTACTATAATTTTTTAATTTTATTAAATTTCATGTCTTTTTTATAATTGTTTTGGACCTTTCTTGTAATTTTTTCATATTTGTTAGATAATTTGAATGGAGAAGCTCGGGAGCTTTGAAAAAAATGACTTTTTTGGCAAAAATTGATTTTCTGGACAAATGGGTGTTTGGATAGTTTTGACAAAAATTAATTTTTGCCTCAAATAATCAATTAAAATGCTATTCAAACAGGCACATAAACGTTTCTCTTCAACTAATTTTGATTTAAAATATAAATAATTTTGTACACAAATTTTTTTATTTTACCACTTGTATTTATTAATTTAAATATTTATTCAAATATATCTCTCACTCATTATAGAATATATAGATAATTAAGATTAGGAGAAAAAATTATTATGTACAAAATTTTTTAAAAAACTACGTATATTTTAGATGGAGTATATACATCACATATGAGTAAGTCTGAAACCAAAATCAATTACGCTTATGTGCTACTAAGTAAGCTAACTGGTCGATGACCTGGCAAGCTAGATGTCTAGATCCAGTTGCATCCCCGGCTAGCCAGTGATTTGATAAATTTTAAAAGGAGATACATATTCAAGCACATATATAAATATATCAACATTGGGTTCATTCTCAAAACCTCTTTCGAACAAGAGAAGTGACGTTATTATTAAAATAACTAATGATTGACAATGAGATTTGATAAATTAAATGTAAGCATGACAAAAAAATTATTCATAAATAAGTATTAATATAAAATAAATTGTAATTAAAAATAGGAATACAAACTTATTTTTTTCAAACAAGACTTATTATTAATCTTTATTTGTCAATAAACTTTTTTGTTAGGGTTTTGAATATGATTCTTCTTTTAATTAATTTATTAGTTTAATTTTTTTTTTTTTTAAGAACGAGGCAGGGGGGGCATTGACTGTGGCATGGAACATGAAGTTTATGAAGGCTCACCATTGAATGCCGACGTGTCTTCTTTTTTCTGGAGACAGTAGCAGCACTAGTAGCTTTTTGATTTTCCGTGGGGGCAAATTAGGATGCTTGGTTCTTTAATTCTCTTTTCCAAAGCCGAACCTGCCTCAATGTTGATTCTCCAAATAAAGTACACGCTGACGCCTACCCCTCACAAACACTTTTGCCCCTCCCTCCCCAATCCATCCGGTACCTTTTTTTATCTTATTTATATAGTAAAAAAAATTATTTTGTTTATAAATTATATTATTAAATTTTTATTATAAATTTTTTATTTTATCTTTTATTAAATGTTAGAGAGAGAAAATATGTTATTAAAATATATATATTTAATAAAGATAAAGTTAAAAACGTATTAAATTTTAAGACAAAATTAATGAGTTTTAAAGTTTTCTTTAGTACTGATGAAACATATTGAAAGTGACTTATAAATAGGACCAAGAAAATATCTGTCTTCACTTACTTCTTTGAAAAACTGTCCGTTTTAATCTATTTTTTATAATTAAAATTACATATCTTAATAAGTATTTATTATAAAATTTTTAAATTACCTGTTATAATTTAAATTAATAAAAAATAATTAATACATGTTTATGTTAATTAATACATGATATTTTAATTTAATTTTTTATTTTCAGGCATAATTTTTATAGTAAATTGATTTTTGTAAGCTGTATGATATAATTATATATATATATATATATAGACATAGAGGGAGTATATTTTTATTTGTCATAATGATAACAAATTTCAAATTAAAATATACTCCTAAAGATATAAAAACACATAATTCATAGAGCATGTTATTTGAGTGAGTGTTTAGGAAGTGGGAGTTTAAGGACATAAAACGATGGTAAAAGACCACGTTGGTTGGACTTGGATGTCTAGCACTGACTTGGTTTTTCTTTATTACGCTTTTACTATAAATATGAATCATTTAAATTAAATTTTAGTCATATAACTTAATTTGTATTTTTTAAATCTTTTAAATTTAAGCCATCAAATCTAATTTAACAGTACAAATCTGCAACACAAGCTCGTATGAGTGTTTCGGCAGTGGGAGTTTTATGCAGGCTTTTGCTTTGCGCGTTGTTTCCATTTTCACTACAAATATGACTCACCACTATCACTCCACTCTTTTTTTTTTTTTTAAAGTTCATCATTACCCCTTTTTGAGGCAGGTTTGCTTTGGGGCTTGGCCCACAGTTCCGGGCTTCTTCTTTTCACTAAACTTATGACAATTATATATACTCTTTATGTTTTAAATTATAAAATATTTTTAAATAAATTTTTTTATTTTAAAATATAAGACACTTTAAATAGATTAAAATTTTATTAAATATATCAATTTTAATATTATTTTTTTATTTATAATTAATTTATATTTTTTTTAATATATTAAATGATGGGTATTTTTAAAAATTTATATTGTTATTTTAAAGAATAAAGTTGTTATGTGTATTTAATGAGATTTATTGATATATGAAATCTCATCTAAAAGTGTCTTATAATTTGTGATGGAGGGAATAATAAAGGTTCTATATGCCTCCTGCAAAATCATATATATATTTTATTTTATTTACTTAAATTAATGCTCCATTTTTTTTTGGGGGCTTTTGTCTGGTCTATATTGAGAAAAATATTCCGGTAAAAATGGAAGATATTAATTTTTTTTTAAATTTTTACACTTCAAGTTGGTATAATCCAATTCCTCATCCTCCACTCGTTCAAAAATCAAAATATTGGTCTCTGACGTTGAAGGACGCAATTCAGTCATCCATGAGCCATCCCACGTGGTACAAACAGCAATTAACGGAGTTTATTCTGCTCACATGGCAAACAGGTCAGTTCCATGTCAGATAATGAAGGGAAAAAAAATGAAAAAGCCCTTGCAAATAAAAGAGGGAGGCGGATGCGCACTAAGAGCTTCGAGCCTCATTTAAAATTAATGGACAGATTCATGCCACATGAACAGAGTACTGCAACATACAAGGATGTAAGATTGAAAATCAAAAGAAGTATTTTCTCAAATCACCTCTAGTATATTTTATTAGAGTTAAAAAAATTTTAAATTATATTAACTCTATTTTAAAATTTAATAAGTTTTAACTGCTACCTATAAGAATAAAAGAAATTATTTTTAATAATTTTTTCTAATATTTACCAGAGATAGAAAGGTAATTATGAATGTAAAAAATAGTAAAATATCTTATAAATAAAATTAAGTTTGACCGTTATTAATTGAGCTCAGGTTGAACTTGCAAGCTCATTTTTTTTATTTTTAAATTTTCAAAAATTTAATTTTTTGATTGTAATAGTACATATTCTTTCTCTAAAATACAATCTTAATGTTCAAAAATAAAAAAAATAAGGAATATAAATTCTAATTTCAAACACAAACA